CTTTTTTTGGTGCTCATCCTAGGCTTTAACTCAGGGCCTGGGTGCTGTCCATATCCCTGTTCATGGCTAATGCTGTATTACTTGTTCCACTTCTGGCTTCTTGTTATTTATTTATTTATTTATTTTTGTGTTGGTCATGGGGCCTGAACTCTGGGCCTGGGTGCTGTCCCTCAGCTCTTCAGCTCAAGGCTAGCGCTCTACCACTTGAGCCATAGCACCAGTTCTGGCTTTTTCTGCTTATGTGGTGCTGAGGAATGGAATCCAGGGCTTCATGCATGCAAGGCAAGCACTCTACCACTGAGCCACCTTCCCAGACCCTGGCTTCTTTTTAGTAGTTTGCTGGAGATAAGAGTCTCAGTGACTTTACTGCCTAGGTTGGCTTTGAAGTGAGGTCCTCGGATCTCAGCTTCTTGAGTAGCTAGGATTACAGGTGTAAGCCACTGGTGCCTGGCTAAAGTGACATTTTTTTATTCGGTCCCAATTAAAAGATTAGTTTTTCCCAATGTGACCTTCCTTCCAGAGAGGGCCTACATGGTGCCAGTTTGAGGGTGCTCCCTCCCCCCCTCCCCGCCATGACCCGCCTCTTTGTCATGCTGGTCAGTTTCTTCTGCTTTTTTTTTTTTTGTCAGTCCTGGGGCTTGAACTCTGGTCCTGGGCGCTGTCCCTGGGCTCTTCAGCTCAAGGCGAGCGCTCTACTGCTTGAGCCACAGCGCCACTTCCGGTTTTCTAGTGGTTTATTGGAGATCAGAGTATCACAGACTTTTCTGCCCAGGCTGGCTTTGAACCGTGATCCTCGGATCTCAGCCTCCTGAGTAGCTAGGATGACAGGTGTGAGCCACCAGCACCCAGCTTTGGTCAGTTTCTTCTGTTAGTTTGCCAACCCCATGCTTGCTGATTTAGCTCCCTTCACACCACTCCTGCCACCTCCCAGCTTTGCAGTGATCCTTGAGCACTTGGCTAATTACTTGGTCTCTGAATTAGTTACATCTAATGTCACTGTGGCCAAATACCTGACAGAAACAACTTGAAGAAGGAAGACATATTTTAGCTTAGAGTATGAGAGCATTCAGTACATCTTGGGGGGCGGGAGAGCAATTTACGTTCTCAGAAACAGAGTGAGACAGGAAAGGGCCAGGGACGAGATCCTCCTAAGGACCTACCTCCACTGACGTATTCCCTCTAGCTGAGCCTCACCTCTTAGAGCCCACATAAGTTCTCAAAATAGTACCAAATGCTGAGGACCAGAGGTTCTAAATAGGAGCCTGGGGGACATTTCATATTCAGACTGTAGCATTTACCTCTTGTCCCAAAGGCTTATGGGCATCTCATAATGGAAAATACATTCACTCCATCTTTTAGAGTCCCCGTAATTTTAACAGTTCCAGCATTGTTCAAAAGTCCAAGTTCAAAATCTCTTCTAAAGAAAAACTCCTCGCTATGAGGTCCTGCTTCTAATATACCAAGACACAGATGAAATATTCCCAAAGGGAAGAAAAGGAGGAATAAGACCAAAGCAAGACACAATTAAATCTGGGAGTTGGCCTGCTCTGATTGCCAAGGGCTGGGGAAGCTCCACCCAGTGGTTTTGCCTTCTGTAACCCACGTGACCTCTCTCAGACTAGTTTCTCTCTGCTTGCATTTTTCCTGGATAGGTGTTTCTCAGTCCTGACTCAGTTTCCAGCATCCTGGGGTCTTCACTGCATCTTCTTGCATTGCCTGACTCGGGCTGGCTGTAGGGGTCCTGACTCTGCCACACTTTGCCTAGGCTCCTGGTCTTCATTTGAATGCTTCCATGACCCCACAACTCTTAGGATGATCTAAGTTCTGCCATCATCTTTACAAGTGCTTGGCTCTCTTGGACTATTGCTACTTTGGAGTGCAAGGTAGCTGAACCTAGGAAAGTGCTGCCCGAGGTGGCCCTGTGTGAGCCGGATACCCGCTAAGGCTCTCAAAGGAGAATCTTACAAATAAGCTTATACTTTTTTCTCCTCAGGTCCTGGGGCTTGAACTCTGGGTCTGGGCGCTGTCCCACAGCAGTTCAGCTCAAGGCTAGCACTCTACCACTGGAGCCACAGCGCCATTGCCATTTCCGGTTTTCTGGTGGTTAATTGGAGATAAGAGTCTCACGGACTTTTTTGCCTGGGCTGGCTTTGAACCATGATCCTCAGATCTCAGCCTCCTCAGTAGCTAGGATTACAGGCGTGAGCCACTGGCACCCGGCAAAGTGAGAGACTGTGTTTTGTTTTGTTTTTTGTTGGTTATGGGGCTTGAACTCTGGGTCCTGGGTGCTGTCCCTCAGCTCTTCAGCTCAAGGCGAGTGCTACCACTGGAGCCACAGCGCCACTGTGAGCTCCTCACCTCAAGGTGCTCGCTCTACCACTGGAGCCACAATGCTGGTTTTCTGGCACTTAGTTGGAGATAAGAGGCTCATAGACTTTCCTGCCCTGGCTGGCTTTGAACCACAGTCCTCAGATCTCAGACTCCTGAGTAGCTAGGATTATAGGCATGAGCCACCGGTGCCTGGCAAAAATACATTTTTTTAATTAAGTAGTTGTATAAAGGGGTTTTGATTCCAGAATTCAGGTTATGAGATCAGTGCCACCCTTGCATTGTTTTCCTTTGCCTTTCCCCATCTCATCCCTACCCCCAAGCTATGTAGTTCCATTTTTACACAATGTACAATAAATATAACGACTATGTTTGCACACCCTTTCTTCCTCTGTTAGTGTCTTCTTCCCGTGGCTTTTGCCCTCTCCCTTAGAATGTTTCATCTTCCTAGCATTCATTTTATTAAGTGGCTTGTTAGTTTTTTGAAGAACTTATGACAGCATTGGACTCCTCCTCTAAGTATAATGGCACTAAGTATATAAATGGCATTAATTACTTTAGCCACTGTGTCCTTTTTGGGGGGGGGGAATGAGTTGTGGGGCCTGAACTCTGGGCCTGGGCGCGGTCCCTCAGCTCTTCAGCTCAAGGCTAGCGCTCTACCACTTGAGCTACAGTGCCACTTCCAGCTTTTCCTGTTTATGTGGTGCTGAGTTATTGAGCCCAGGGCCTCATGAATGCAAGGCAAGCACTCTGCCACTGAGCCACCTTCCCAGCCCCCACTGTGTCTTTCTTGTTCACAGCTTTAAACTTTTTCTTAGCTGGCCAGATTGTTTTTCAAAATTTTCTCCACTCTATCTTTTTTTTTTTTTTTTTGTCAGTCATGGGGCTTGAACTCTGGGCCTGGGCGCTGTCCCTGTGCTCTTCAACTCAAGGTGAACACTCTACTGCTTGAGCCACAGTGCCACTTCCCGTTTTCTGAGTGGTTTATTGGAGATAAGAGTCTCACGGACTTTTCTGTCCGGGCTGGCTTTGAACCTCGATCCTCAGATGTCAGCCTCCTGAGTAGCTAGGATTACAGGCGTGAGCCACTGGCGCCCGGCTTAGTAATTTCTTTCTTTCTGTCATGGGGCCTAAACTCTGGGCCTGAGCACTGTCCCTCAGCTCTTCAGCTCAAGGCGAGTGCTCTACCACTTGAGCTACAGCACCACTTCCGGTTTCCTTGTGGTTTATTGGAGATAAGAGTCTCACGACTTCCCTGCCCAGGCTGGCTTTGAACCGCGATCCTCAGATCTCAACCTCCTGAGTTGCTAGGATTACAGGCGTGAACCACTAGCGCCCGGCTCTTAAGGACTTTTCTGCTTCAAGTTACTGTCCCCCAGAGGAAAAATGTATTTGCTGTTTTGTAGATGAACTAAGTCTTAGGAATTTTTGGTTAAGTGTTTTGGAGGCTCAGAATTACACTTGTCTACCAGGCATCAAATTGGAAATAAATTTCCCAACTGAGAACTCAGAAAGTAAGAATTGGTGTCCAGTGAGACCCAGTGACCCAGTGAGAGCCAGTGTGCCAGCAAGACCCTCTCAAACATAATAGGCTTAACTATCTCACTGGTACAACCTGAGGCTGAGTTTACAGAATCCCACCTTTTCACCACGCCCTAAGTCCAAGCATATAAATACCCTTGTGTAAAAAATAAAAATTGGCAGCTTGATCAGAATCCTCGTCTTGCTGTCCTTCTTCGTGTCTCTTGTCCCTTCATTCCTTCTCGCTTAGGCTCACCGCCCTCGTTGAAGTCCTGCGGGTCAGGACACGGTGTTGCAGTGACCCAGTGAGAATCAGTGTCCACTGGAGTTACTGTCCCAGTGAGAGCCACTGTCCCAGTCTCACTGGGACACTCTTTGGTGGCAGCCAGCAAGTTCTTGCAGAGCAGTGAGTGGTGCACATGCGCAAACAGCTGTGGTTTCAGGGAGGGCGACCCTGTCAGAGGCTGCGGCCTGTGGATGTTACCTGTGAGGGTGGGGCAGATGCTCTTCCGATTTGACTAGTGCTCTTGAGGAAGGAGTCCTTTGTCTCCTTGCTGTTTGCTGTGTGGGTAGTTTAGTCCTTGGCATTTTTACTTTTGCACAGATAACTCCACCTCTCTGAGGCTCTCTTGCTTCCTCCTTGAAGCCTCGCTCAGTCTACACACTGCATGTTTGGAGCAGATCCCCCTCAGAGGGTTTGACTCCATCAGCTGTACCCTTGTTCTAAGGGACTTGTGGGAAGGTTCCTTCTTCAATCGCTAGTAGTTCTCTTCTCTTGCTGTTAGGAAATGTGTGTTCACAGAAAATTCTATAGGATGCAATACGCTGTTGTGATAGTTTATTTGTGTATTTTTTGTTGGTTGTGGGGCTTGAACTCTGGGCCTGGGCTCTGTCCCTCAGCTTTTCAGCTCAAGGCTAGTGCTCTACCACTTGAGCCATAGCACCACTTCTGGTTTTCTAGTGGTTTATTGGAGATAAGAGTTTCACAGACTTTTCTGCCCGGGCTGGCTTTGAACTGTGATCCTCAGATCTCAGCGTCCTGAGTAGCTAGGATTACAGGCCTGAGCCAGCAGTGCCCGGTGTGATAGTTTATTTTTTTTTAAACTGTACATTTGTATTTATAACATTTTGATGTTCACCTTCTTTTTCAGGCTCAAATATTTAAGCATGGAAAACGTGAAGACTGTCTACCTTATGGTAAGGTGAATTAGTGATGTCAGTTTTCTGGTATGATGTCAGTATGTTCTGCATATGGTCCCTGAACATTGATCCGTAGTGTAGGAATCTCATTTGGTGTATTTAGATGCTCTCATAGCCCTTAGGTTTTTTTGTTTTGTGTGTCTTGGTAGGTGGGACTTTTGGCAGACTTTATTAGTTATTTGAAATGCAGGAAATTGCTGACGTTTCTGTACTAGAGATCCAGGCTCTTAGTGCCTTATTGCTGTGTCTTGTTCACAGTTGCCACCACCCTGCAGGGGTCCTGTAGCGGCCACTTCCCCGTTGACTTTATTCCCTGTCGCCTCGTCCCCTCCTGCCACCTCCTCCCCCCTCCATCCCCATTAACCTCTCCTCCTCCCTCCCTGCTTCTGTGCTCCAGCCCCCTTTCTCGTCCTCCCTCCCTCCCTCCTTCTGTGCTCCAGCCCCCTTTCCCCCTGCCCCCGGGGCCCTGCCCCCTCATCTGCTCTGCTGGCTCCATCCTGACTTGCCTGTGTCCTCCTCTCCCCTGTGCGGTCTGTTTCACCTCAGGCCCATTTCTGAGAGCTGGGCCTATGCTTCTGCCCTGGGCCTTTATTGGCTGTCCATAGAATGCCGTCCTTGTGCTCTCTCGGCCTTGGCTTCTCCAGTCTGACTGGCCTGTGTAGCACAGGGTCCTGACAGGCTGCTTCCCACCATGCTCCCCACTGGGCCCAGCCTCCTTTCCTGTCCTTGTCACCGTCCCTGCATTGTGCTGAGTGACTCAGTGGGTTCTACCATCCTGCTTTTGACAGAAACCCTGGAAAAAGGGGGTCTTGTAGGTCAGGGCTCTGGTGCTCAGTATTTCTTAGCCTCACCTGCCTGTGGGCTTGGTTGTATTGGATACGGGGTGAGTTTGGCCTCTGCTGAGCCGCACGCTCTTGTTTGCAGCCAGCACTGTGCTCCAGTGCCTTGACAGATGCAGACTCCCCGAGTGCGGCCAGACCCGGCTGCGGAAGCTGGGCGTGAAGCTTGTGCAGCGTCTTGGGCTCACCTTTCTGAAGCCGAAGGTGGCAACGTGGAGGTGAGTCAGGGTCAGGGGGCAGGCTCTTACCCAGGTGGGGACGGCCACATGGGCTGACGGAAAACCTACCTTCTGAGTTAATTTTTCTTTAGTTTCTGAAGTGTTTCTCATTGTGAAAGGAGTGATTTTCCTTTTGGTTATATATAGGTCTTCCAGCTATACTAGCTGAAGCTGGAGTGGTGACAAGAGAAGCCTGCTTTGGTCTTCCCTGTTGCTCATGTGCAGGATGTGGTCACTGGTGTGGCTGCTGGGGGAGCTTCTTTTTTTTTTGCCAGTCCTAGAGCTTGAACTCAGGGCCTGGGCACTGTCCTTGAGCTTCTTTTGCTCAAAGATAGCATTCTACCACTTGAGCCACAGGACCTCTTTTGGCATTTTCTGTGTCTGTGGTACTGAGGAATGGAACCCAGGGCTTCATGCATGCTAGGCAGGCACTCTACCACTGAGCCACAGTCCTAGCCGGAAGCTCCTTTTTGATTTGTGATCAGTGTGGATATAGGCTATTCTCTGAGAAAGCTGGATGTGGAATGTCTTTGCTTGGTGGTAAAGATGGTGCTGGGTGTGATCAGTGGTTTTGAATCGCTGGCTTTGTGGCACAGACTCTGGCAATGTTCTTAGGATGCGTGTTTTTAGTAACCTTCAGTTGAAATATGATTTGGGAAGCTATATTTGAAGTATGATTTGGGAAGCCATATTTTAAGTTCAGTTGGTTAAACTTTGTTGCAAATGGCAGCAAATTCTACAGAAATATGTTGTGGTTCAGATACTTCTTGGGTATTTAGTATACAGTTCACTCTAAGAGCTTATTGGGTAGGCCTATAATCCTACCTATCTAGGAGGCTGAGATCTGAGGATCACAGATTGAAGCCAGCTTGGGCAGAAAAACCTTAGAGACTCTTACCTGCAAGTAACCATCAAAAAGCCAGAACGGGAGGTATGGCTCAGATGGTAGAGTGTCAGCTGTGAGTGGTGTATCCATTCCCACAGTCAGCCTAAGGAATCAGTACACACAGGCAGCCTGGTGAGACCCGAGGTCTGCAGGGGTAGGAAGCAGGCGGGGGACACAGAGGGACTGTACTCTAGTCAAGCTGACGGGCAGGCAGGACGGACAGTGTTTTATTCTGTTGAGCTGAGTTGGTTGGATGAGGCTAACTCATACTTGGGAGGGCCACCTGGAAGCATCCAGATCTACCTAGACATGTCAAATTCACGCTCACAAGTACTGGGGACGGATTGTAATTTAAAGTCCTTACATATAATTGGCAATACAGCTCTATAACTGATCATACAATTCTATAATAGTATTTACCAATTCTATAATTGGTAATATACTTAGGTTTTACTTTCTTTCTTTCTTTTGGTCAGTTGTGAGGTCTGCACTCTGGGCCTGGGCGCTGTCCCTCAGCTCTTCATCTCAAAGCTAGCACTCTACCACTTGAGCCACAGGGCCACTTCTGGCTTTTTTTCTGCTTATGTGGTGCTGAGGATTCAAACTCAGGGCCTCATGCATTCAAGGCAAGCACTGTACTACTAAGCCAGATCCTCAGCCAAACTGATGACTTGAATCACCAAGAAATTTGATTGTAGGTTCAGGCTGTATTAGCTTACCTGAGTGTGCTTTGTTTTGCATAGGTATCAGCGTGGCAGCCGGTCTTTGGCTGCCAATCTGAAGCTCTGTACCCAGGATCAAAGTGAGCAGAAGCCACCGACTGACAGCGTGGCTTCTGATGCTGAGGAGGACTATGACATCCCAGAAGGGGTGGAGAGTGTGATAGGTAGGTGGGGCTTGGGACCCTGCCTGGGCTGTTCCTCTGTTTCCCTCCCATGTTGGTACCCTCACTGCACATATGGCCACTGGCCTGTCCTCTCCGTGGACGGATTGCTCCCTGGTAGCCTTAGGCTCCCCACTAACTCTCAGCGTGTCACACTTCCTTCTGCATCCCTGGCCCGCCTGGCCACCGCCCTGGGTGTTTCTGGGGAGCTAGGGCTCTCAGGGTGGTGGAGGTGGGCACTTGGTTCTTGAATCTGTAGCACTTTCATGTTTCCCTCAGTGGCCATCTCAACTCCTGAAGCTCCTACCGTGGGGAGGCTGGCCCAGTACTCTAGTCACACAATGGAGACTTCTGCCCACCTTCCGCCCTGTGCCCTTTCCTATGGGGACCCTGGCTGAGCGGGCTGGGCCAGGCTGACCTTCTGCTTACTTCTATCTGCTCCTTCAGGGCAGGTTTCCACCTAGACTACAGATCGCCCTCATGTGCTGCCCAGGTTCCCCTTTCCTTGTTGCTGCGATGTGACATCTGGTGCCCTCCCTGGGTTGCTCAAGGCCGTTCGGAACGCCACCATCCGTACGGAGCCCCTTGGCCTCTTCCTTGTTGCTCTCTGATCATCACTGCAGGCATATTTCATCATCGGCCCTTTTGTTGGCTTGTCTCAAATCCTACTCCCCTACTTTTTCTCCCAGGTTTTCTGGGGCAGCTGGTGTCCTGTGGCCAAGGTGTTTTGAGGGTTACTGGGTTTTGAGGGCCCATCCTGCAGGAGCAGGCTCAGACGCTTGCCTGGAAGGTCCCCAGCTGCTTCAGCTGCCCTCAGCCTCCCTTCCTATGTGCTGGGGCAGACCCTTGTTCTGAGCCTTTGCTTTGCCCTTAGCCTTCATCTTGCACTGGGCCTTCTTCACCTGGTTGACTTCCCTGATGGGCTTCCATTAGGAACAGTAACAAAAATGGGTTTCCTGGGTTCATTTAAAAATAGAGGAAACTGGGCTGGGAAGGTGGCTCAGTGGTAGAGCGCTTGCCTTGCATGCCTGAGGCCCTGGGTTCGATTCCTCAGCACCACATAAGCAGAAAAAGCCAGAACTGGTGCTATGGCTCAAGTGGTAGAGCGCTAGCCTTGAGCTGAAGAGCTGAGGGACAGCGCCCAGGCCCAGAGTTCAGGCCCCACGACCGGACCCAAAAAAAACCCACAAAATACTTCACATGGGGTTTGAGAGCTTCATACTCCTTACAGGTTCTCAAAAGATAGAATGACTGTTTTTAAGTCATATTTCTTCTTTTATAACTTAATTTTAAGATGTGAGTTTTAGGTTCTAGTGTGATTGTGAGCTCTGCAGGTATAGATGTATAGTTTTAAGTTATCTGTGAGACTCCATTGTGGAGAAAATGAAACAGGGAAAAGGGCTGACAAGTACGGGTCAGCGGGGGCTTTTCTATCTACAGGTTCCACTGGGACCACATATGTTTTGGAGCTCCCTACGGGCCAAAGGGCATTCATATCAGCAGTGCTAAGTTTCAGCCCGTAGTCAGTGTGGCTTGGTATGAGATTAGGTTGAAAGGGCCTTTCCTGTGAGTTTGACTTCAGGACTCTTTCTGCCCTATGTGGGCTCCCCACCCTCTGACATCATTGAGAGCCAAAAGTGTTTCCTGTGGAATGGAAGGGGGGTTATGGTCCCTCCCCCCCCCCCCCCCGCCAGGTGAACAGCCGGAGTTGGAGCTTAGCAAGCATCTGGTGCTCCTGTGCTGGTGGCTCTTAACCATTAGTAATGGACTCAGTGCCCACATTACTGTGGGGTACGATGCTGCCTGCTCCTCCCTGACACATAGGTGGTTGCTGGGCAGGGCTGGCTGGAATGAGCATGTGTGTCTGATGAACTGTTGCTTTTCTTTCCAGAATTGGCAGGATGGCTGGAAGGCTTCCCAAAGAGCTGGCAGACGACGTGGTGGGGTCTGTGCTGGACTGTTTCAGGTTCGTTCTCGCACTCAGGAGCACAGCTGCAGCGTTGCTCTTGGTCCTGTTACATCCCCTTTCAGTCGAGCTGTTCTTCAAAACCCCAAACCTATTTTTACCTTTTGAAGTTAAACTTGGCAATTTTGGTCATCTTGTGTGTTGCTATTGTCAACATGGTTATATTTAAACTTTAGGAAGAAGTGAAGCTAGTGTGGAACCTGTGTAAACAGGATTTTCATTCTTAGGTGTGAACTTGGGTCTGCATTGTAGACAGAGCTTTCTTGATGAAAGGGTGCTCCATCTGTAGTATGGCCACAAGCCTGTGGTGCTGCAGCTGTCGAGGGAGGCATTTGTGACAGAGGCCTGGAGTCAATGTTCACTGGAATTTTAGTTTAGTTTTTTTTGTGTGTGTGTCAGTTGTGGGGCTTGAACTCTGGGCCTGGGCGCTGTCCCTCAGCTCTTCAGCTCAAAGCTTGTGCTCTACCACTTGAGCCACAGCGCCACTTTGTTTTCTGGTGGTTAATTGGAGATTAATCAAAGTCTCATGGACTTTCCTGCTTGGGCTGGCTTTGAACCACGATCCTCAGATCTCAGCTTCCTGAGTAGCTAGGATTACAGGCGTGAACCACTGGTGCCCTGCAAATTTTAGTGTTTTGTTTTTTTTTTTTTTGATTGGTCGTGGGGCTTGAACCCTGGGCTTGGGCACTGACCCTGTGCTCTTCAGCTCAAGGCGAGTGCTCTACCACTTGAGCCACAGCACCACTTCTGGTTTTCTGGTGGTTTATTGGAGATAAGAGTCTCATGGACTTTCCTGCCCAGGCTTGCTTTGAACCAAGATCCTCAGATCTCAGCCTTCTGAGTAGCTAGGATTACAGCCACCAGTGCCCAGCTCAAGTTTTATTTATTTGTTTGTTCATTTATTTATTTATGCTGGTCGTGGGGCCTGAACTCTGGGCCTGGGCGCTGTCCCTCAGCTCTTCAGCTCTACCACTTGAGCCACAGCGCCACTTCTGGCTTTTTCTATTTATGTGGTACTGAGTAATCAAACCCAGGGCCTCATGCATACAAAGCAAGCGCTGTACTACTGAGCCACCTTCCCAGCCCATGTTTTAGTGTTTTAAAAGGGCATTCTGATCTGAGAGTTCATGGCCTGTGTGTGTGTGTGTGTGGTGATGAATTTGACCTGGGACCATTCCCAGGCAGGGGACTGGTCCACTGCCTCCCTGAGGATTGTTACATTATATGTGACAGGACTCGGTCTTGTTCAGGACGCTGCTTTGCCTTGGCACTTCAGGAGCTGGTGCTGCGGTGTTCTGTCATGCTCTGTGGCTATGGCTGGCTGCAGAAGTGCACTGTCAGCACTTTGGATGTTCCAGGTGTGCTACCTGTGTCTCTAGGGACAGACTTGCCAGCAACCCCGTCGGTTTCCTTCTGTAGCAGGTCTCTCTGCCTTGTGTAGCCTCAGGGCTGTTCAGTGACAGTTACCAAGTGCAGGAAACAGTATGTCACATTGGGCATCTGTGTTGAAGTAATGCTATGTGTAGTAGAACTATTCCTAGCAGAAAGTACTCTCCTAATCGGGGTTGCTTTGTGGAGCAAATACAGATTCTCTGTTGGGGTTCTATGGGCTTGTGATCCTGGAGCCTCTTTCTGGAGGGTCTGGACAGGCGGCGTGCTGCTGCTGTTCCTCTCCCTGTGCTGCCTGGGCAGCTAGCCCGCCCTGCTCTCTCAGAGAGTTCTCAGAAGCTGGCTTGGTGGGTGGCAAGGCCTGGGATCACACCCATCTCCTTGGGGGCAGTGGTTTTCCTGAAGTGGTTTCTTTTTCCTTTTTTTCCCTATGGTATTGCTGTACGTACTCACTGGTCATTGAGTGTTTTTTTTGGTGACCATCTTAGGATTGGGCCTCCACAGGTGTCTTCTGCTATAGCTATCTCTCCATTTCTCTTTGGCTTTAGTCATTTTTAGGTAGAGTTTTGTATTCTTGTTGGGCTGGCCTCAGACTGTTATCCTCCTACTTATGAGGCATGATCACGTGCTCTTAGCTAGAGCATCCATCCATCCATCCATCCATCCATCCATCCATCCATCCATCCATCCATCCATCCATCTATCCATCTATCTATCTATCTATCTATCTATCTATCTATCTATCTATCTATCTATCTATCTATCTATCTATCTATCTATCTACATCCATCTATCCATCTATCTATCTATCTATCTATCTATCTATCTATCTATCTATCTATCTATCTATCTATCTATCTATCTATCTATCTAATCTATCTAATCTATCTACGCCAGTCGTGGAGCTTGAACTCAGGGCCTGAGCTTCTTTTGCTCAAGGCTAGCACTCTACCACTTGAGCCATAGAACCCAGGGCTTCATGCATGCTAGGAAAGCACTCTATCACTAAGCCACATTCCCAGCCTAGCTGGAGCTTTTTATCTAAATTCTTCTGGAGTTTTCCTTTGCATCTTTCTCTGCCCTTGGGTGTTACTCGTCTCCATGGGCTTTGTGGGGCCCTGGTGTGAGCCATTCCTCCAGATTTTACTCCTTTCTCTTGGCTTGTAGTCTTGGCCTAGTGTCAGTCATCCTGACTAGTTTAATCTTGCATTGTTTCTGTTATTTATGATATTTGTGCATTGTTTCTGTTATTTATGCTATTTGTGCATCTCTACTTTTTTTTTGGTGCCAGTTTTGAGGCTTGAACTCAGGGCCTGTGCATTGTCCCTGAGCTTTTTTCTTTTAAGTTTTTTTTTTATTGTGAAAATACCATACAGAGGGGTTACAATTACATGAGCAAGGTAATACGTACATTTCTTATCAAGCATTGTTGCCTCCTCCTTTGTTTTCCCCTCCCATCTCCACACCTAAACTCCCCCTCCCCCCTAGATTCTTTGTTCACGATTAGCACTCTACCACTTTAGTGACAGCTACACTTCTGGCTTTTTTTTAGTGCTTAATTGGAGATAAGAGTCATAGACTTCCCTGCTCGGGCTGGCTTTGAACTGCAGTTTTGATCTCAGCTTCCGGAGTAGTTAGGCATGAGGATTACTGGCACCAGCTTGTACATATCATTTATATAGCTGAGTTTTAGAGGGCAGAAGTGATCTTACTGCTCTTGAGTCCTCAGCCACAATAGCAGCGCGGCATGTGGAGCCTGAGCCTCCTGGCCCTTCTTCCACTTCTCTTGGCTCCCATCATTGTATGCCTTTTATGTCAATGGATTTTGTGTTTCTGGATGCTTCTTGGGTTGAGTTTGAGGGCTGGAGCTTGCTTTTAGTTCCTGATGGAAGTTTCTTCCTGTCCTCCTGTCATTTGAGGACCAGGCACCCTCCCAGGCATGAATGTACCGTGCTGATCTTAGCCTTGCCTGGCAGGAGCCACAGCGACGCACTCTCCCTTTAGAAAAGACATTAGTTGTATTGTATTTGGGTTATCATATGGGTATGTCTATTCAGATGTTATTAAGGTTCATGGACAAGCCTCTCTTTCTAATAAAGTTCAAGAGGATACAAATGCTGACATTAAGATTTAGAAATGGGCTGGGCGCCAGTGGCTCACACCTGTCATCCTAGCTGCTCAGGAAGCTGAGATCTGAGCATTGAGGTTCAAAGCCAGCCCAGGCAGGAAAGTCCATGAGACTCCTATCTCCAATTAACCACCAGAAAACCAGAAGCGGTGCCGTGGCTCGTGATAAAGTGCTAGCCTTGAGCTGAAGAGCTCAGGGACAGTGCCCATGTTCAAAATTCAAGCCCCATGACCGACCCAAAAAAAATTAATAAAGGTGTTATAAATTGTTTTGCTTTTCTAAAAAAATTATTTTTATTGTGAAAATACTGTACAGAGGGGTTACAATTACATGGGCAAGATAATGAGTACATTTCTTATCAAGCATTGTAGCCTCCTCCTT